CGCCTCAGCGCGGAGGCCGGGCGGGGCCGCCGCTGCCGCCCTTGGGCTGAGGAGGGTGCGCCCGTCGGGCGATGTCCGCCCGGTCTCCCCGGGCCGTCCCTTCCCTGTGTGTGAACGGGGCCTCGTCTGAGCCGGCGGTTCGGCGAGGCAGGGCGCGGTGGCCTCGGGGCCGAGTGCGGGGATCGCGGGCCTGGGCCTGGCGGCCCGGTCCCTGATACCTGGCGGGTGTTGAGCCTTCCAGGGGCGGGGGTTACAGGCGGTGGCCAGCACTTGCAGGTGGATGAGAGTAATGCCCAGCAGGGGCAGTTAGTTTGCTTTCAGTTGCACGTTTGTTAGTGTAACCCAACTCTCAGTTGTCTTTTTAAGGTTCCTTCATACTCCCAAACTTCTTTAGAGGACCTTATTTTCTTCAGAAGTGCTTGTTTATATGCAGGCTACCCTGATCTCTATTTTGCTCTCTGTGTATTTTTGCCTGTTATGTGAGAAAATTATGGTTTGTTTTTTTTTTTTCCCCTTACAAGTTTCTTTGCACAGAACAATGGATGATGATGGGAAAAGCTATGTTTCTGCAGAAGTATCTGATATGTTGGAATCAGTTTCTTTTCTGAACGTAGCGGGTAAACCCTCACCTATGGAGTCAACAGTATTGCCTAACACAGAGGAAGAGGAGGTGTGGATTGGTTTTGTAATATGTTTTCTGATTATGGCGTTTTTTTTTGGTGGGGTTTTTTGTGTTTTTTTTGTTGTTGTTTGTTTGGTTTTTTTAAGCTTTAATTCTGGCAGATATTTCTTTGGTAAGAACTGCTGTATTCCCCTGCCCCCAAGATGTGTTTGATTCTTCTGCTTACTTCTCATTGCTTACAAACAACATAGCTAGTAGCGAACACAGGTGGTCGATGCTACATGATGTGTTGTGCTAAGCTTTTGAGAAAGAAGTAAAGGACTTCAGTAATTGCACTTTGAATGTAATGAGACAGTACCGTTCTTTTTAGTAAGCTAAAAAAGGATGTAGATCTTTGTTGAAAGCTTGCTAGGTACTTGGAAATAAAAATCTATAATGCTGTGCTGCAGTATGCTTTTGAAGATAGTATCACCATCTCTGCTGTTCTAGAATGGTAGGTTTCCTGATTGACTTCCCTCAGGTGACTTAATTTTGTGCGATTAGCAGAGTGCTGGTCATCGGAGGGCTGTGGAGACCTCTGGTAAATCCATCTGCTGAATGAACAAGTTGCCAAAGTAGAGACTTTGAAGCTCTGTGAGAAAGGAAGGAATGCTGGGACCCCTCTAAGAATCTTACTGCTATTATTGCTTTGCCTGGATAGGGAGAGCTTTGTATAATGGTATGGGATGCAAAAGCCCACCTTAGCAACTGAGAACTGTGTCATGGTTGTTACTGTGAGGAAGATGAGGGGCTAGTGCCTGGATGGTGGTAATGAAGCGGTCTCTTGAGGCTAAGAATGTCTCACTCTATTAACTGAACATGCTTCATACAAAATGGAAGTGCAGTACTGCAGAGCAGCTGTTAGAAAATATAGCTTGAATTCAATACAGAGGGAGACCAGAAGGTGGAAGCAGTGCAGTTTACGCCTGCAGTAGTGTGCTCTTTTTAAATCAAAATCTTGGCTTTGTCACAGAAGAACGCTGGACACACACACACACACAAAAGGCATTACTTAAGGACATTAGGAGGTAAAGAAGCAGAAGAAAGGGTCTGAACTTCACAAGGAAGGAGAAAGTGAGGCAGTAAGATAAAATAGGAACTATTGCATCAGAGATGTATGCTGATATGATTTGGAGGTGGTCTGTTTAAAAAGTGGCCATTATAACTGTGTATTTTTTTTTTTTTTAATGAATAGGCATATCAACCTTTGAAAGTCTTCTTGAGAGTGAGGCCCTTTTCTATAGCAGAGCTTGAAAACCATGAATCTCAGGTTAGTTGGACAACTAAGAAATAAGTTTTTCTTCTCCCCCAAAGAACACCTAGTATTGTAAGCCAGGACTTTCTTTTATAAAAGCCATGTACTGCTTCCAAATAGAATTAGTGGATGCCTGGATAAATGTGATTTTTTTTTTTTTGTCACAATTTTTACTAATTTGCATGGTACAGAGGCACACCTGTAGCTCTGCAAAATTCCACTGGGTACGTTATTTAAAAGTTGGTGTCACTCTTGACTCTGTACAGTGCTCAAGAAATGAAGGAGTTTCATGGAAGAGATTATGCAATTCTAGGAGTAATTCAGGTATCTGACCCTTGAGTTTCTTTGGAATGCCTGAATAGTCTGCTGTCTCATCCCGGTGACTTGCTGCTCAGCCTGTCAAATTTTTCTATAACCTCTGCAGTTTATACTGTCAGATTTGGATGCTTCAGTGTGTTACACACACATAAATGTGCACATGCAAACACACAGAAATACTCCTTCCTCCTCCCTGCGCGCCCCCCTGCCCCCCCCCATTGTGAATACTGATGCAAACAATTAATTTAGCTGTCCTTGGAGGACAAGGTCTCTGCAGCGTATCTCTCAGCCCTCATGTTTGCAGGGTCTTACAGGCTCTCTGACAGACCTCTCGTTCCTGACAGGTTCAGAGAAGGATTTAATATTAGTTCTAATTTGATTGTCAAAAATGTATTCCTGCATTTAATCTGCCAGAGTTGGAACCTTCGTATTTTTTTCACTTGGATTTGCCCTCGCCACCCCCCTCAACTTCCATTCACCTTTCCTTAGGCAGTTCTTGTTGAGTAGTGTGCACTGCCACAGTGCTTCCTGTTTGGTATTATTCAGCAATCTGAGCTGCTGTAAGGGTAAATTGATTTACAAAATCAGATTGTTTTACGAGTTGTTTGGAACAGGAAATTTCTGACTACCTGACCATTAGTGAAACTACTTGTCCTTAAAAGCTGGGAGGGAGAAAAAGAGTAAGTGTTGAAGTTTGTACTAGATTTTATTTAAAGTTCTTGTCTTCGTTTAGTTCATGATGAAATAGTTGAACTTCCGTCGTATTAGCTGTATAACCTGTTTTGCCTGGTATGAAGGCTTTTTCCTCAGCCTCCAAAAACTAAGAATTCTTGAAAGATCTTCAATGTCTTCAATGTTTTATACTCTCTTAACTATCACGTGAATCTGTGAGGAAGATGATTGGTAACAAATGAAAAAAACAAAACAAAACCCCAAAAAACCCAAACCAACCAAACACAAAACCCTTCTCATTTCTATAACCAATGAAAGATCAACTTAATTTTTAGGTCCTTTTTTCCTCCCTGCCATAAGTAATTTTCAGGAAAGCATCTTTGTTCTGAATACGCAACAAGAAAAGAAAAAAAAAAAATAGAACCCGAGCCCTATTTCTTACAGCTGTAGACTGATGCTTTAAACAGAGACAATGAACAGGTTAACTGATCTGTTGTGTCTTACAGAGATAATGATTTACGCAAGTAAAGCTTAAGAGCTGTGGATGAAATTCTGTACTCTCGATACAACTGCCAGTAGTTCTCTGGAGTCACCGGCTGGAGAGCAGGAAGTTGTGTTCTTTGGATATAAGTGATGTGTACAGTGCCAGACGTGGTCCAACTCCTGCCAGCTTACCTGTGGGGTTAGCTGGGGGAGGCAACCAGGGGCATGTGTTACCAGCTGCATTCCAGCTCTGCAGATCTGACAATTTCAAGGCCTCTACTCAGGAGCATCTGTGAGGCCGGTGGCAGCTGATGGCATGTGCGGCAGATGTTGGATTTTTTTTGTAGCTCTCTAGGATTTAGTACATCTGACCTGTATTCCTGTACAGGCAATGTGGGAGGAATGCTAAAGAGTATATGGGTTTAGAGCCTGGCCCAGTGAGCAAGTGATTAGTGTAAATTCAGTACCCAGCTTCTTAGAGCTGCTGTACCAGTTGGTAAACAGACTTGTTAATTGAGACTCGTGGAAAGAGCAATACTTCTGTACATGCTACACATAGATTATTAGTTTTACCAGCTCTGGCCAGCCTCTGAACATAAATGCCAGATTTAGTTACAATAAATCCTTGCAGCTCATGCTTCAAGACATTTTTAAACTATACTGGTAGTTTAGTTTGTATTTTTGGTAGCCTGTCTGGTGTAAAATAAATTTTCCTGGGATACTGCATACTATGTTTATCTAGTTTGTGAGTGCTAGGTAACTGCATCTTACCTTTGCTTAATTGAGAAATAGCAATCAAATTACTTGAAACTAACTCAGTTTTCTTCATTACTGATAACACCATCTATCAACCAAAGGATAATTCTTCAAACTTATTTTACTTTATTTATGCTTGTCTTAGCTTGTTTCACACTGAAAATGATTGAAGTGGAAAACCAGTGGATTTCTATATAGCTTTGTTTTCATAGCTAGGATTGTGCAAGCCACAATCACAAAATACCAGGGTTTAGAAAGTGTTTTAAAAAAACCAAAACGTTGCTGTAAGGAATCCTAGGAAAGTTTTATACCTCTCAGAAAACTCCAGATGATTGCCTTAACTTTTTGTACACTCTGGCTTTCACATGAAGTGGATATATCTGTAGTTGCTACACACCTCAAGAGAGATTATGTGTAAATTTTGCAACTCTCTGTAGCTCTGGTAAATAGATGAAAACACTAGGGTTTTTGTTGTGTGGGTTTTTGTGTTTGTTCCCCCCGATAGCTTTCTTCCTAAATAATTTAGTGTGGTGTTTTTGGTTTACCTTGTCTTGTTTTTTAAGGGCTGTGTAACTATTGAAGATGCTCAGACAGTAATTCTTAATGCACCCAAAGAGTCTTCTGCAATGAAAAACAGTGAAAGAGGGATTGGTCATTCTGTGCACAGGTTCACCTTTTCTCAGGTAGGCAAACTTTTTTCTAATTTTTAGTTACAGGTTTTTTTTCCTACTGTAATGATAAAAATTGAATTTTCTACTATATCATGCAACATGATTTTTTTTTTTTCTTCTTTGAAATACATGTGGTGGTACTTGCCTTAAAAAAACCAGACTGCTTATTATTTACTGATAGGCTGTCAAGAAAGCTGTATTACAATGGAGGTGCCTAGATGAGACAAGGAAGCTTCTCTGGTAGCTCTGTTGTTTTCTCTGATTAGATGCCACAGAATCTTCTTGTAGGCACAAACTTAAAGTGGTTCTGCTGTTCCTGCAGATGCCCTCATCTGGGAAGTGTTACAGGAAATCACCTGTTTAAAGGGACTTATCTAAGCGTGTGTTTAGGGACTTAATTTTGAAAGAATAGCAGCCTAACTGCTTAAACCTTCTATACTGGAAGTAAGTTTCTTAACTCTGTTACCTACTGCAAGAAATTCTGTTCTTACAGTATCAAAACATAAACAGCTGCAGGCATTCAGCCATTTAGACCATTGTAATGTTGATCTTCTTATCAGTTATGGGTGACTGGTACAGAGTGAGGAGGGAGCTGTGCATCACTAGCAGAGCTCTTGAAAGTATCCACTAAGCAGTATGTGCTTAGTAGCATTCTGCGTAGTTTGTTTTAGGAGTAGGAAAATATTCAGAAATAAGTGCAAGCCTGAGTGCCTCTCAGAATTAAGCAGGCGTCCTATGAGAACCTAACAGAAAACGTTGAATCAGAAGGGGTTCAGGCAAGACAGAAAACTAAGCTGGTATCTCCTACTTGGCTTGCTCTGAAAAACTAATTACTATTAATCAGTGCTTAATATTTTGATATATTAAACTACTTTGTTCCATTTATCACTCCTTTTTTTCCTTTTTTTTTTTTTTTTTTCCCTTCTCCAAGGTCTTTGGGCCAGAAACTACTCAGAGCGAATTTTTTGAAGGCTCAATGAAAGAGATAGTAAGAGCATATGTTAATGGAGTGAATGGACTGGTGTTTACTTATGGGGTTACAAATGCAGGCAAGACATTCACTATCCAAGGTATAAAATGTTTGCCAAAAAGCATATATAACAACCAAGTCAAAACCCAGTGACAAGTTTGTATGAATGTCTACATTTTATTTTTTGTTATTTTTAAGGGACTTCAAAAGATTTTGGTATTTTGCCTCGCTCACTTGAGGTGATTTTTAACCACATAAGGGGAAGACATTACCTGAAGATGAACTTCAAACCATATTTGAGCAACAGTGTTAAGAAACTAGAAGATGCACAAGTTAAGCAAGAAGAAGCCATAAAAACTGCTATTCTTGCATCACTGAAAGAGGTCAGTGACCAAATACTTCCTTGTTACTGAATGAAGCTTCTTAAAAACTTCCTGTCTAACAGACTATCTTTAATAAAATCTCTGTTTCACTATTGATTCTTTAGTTTTATCTAAATCTACAGTATGGATACTTGGTAAGCCTTAAAATAATGAGGCAACTGGCTGTTTTTGGAGCTCAGGGTAAACTGGAAGAACTTTCTGCAGCGGGCAGCACACAGTTCAAAACAAAAACCATTGCAAAGCCTGGATTTCCATAGAGGTGCAGTTCTGACACTCTGGTGACACTAGCCCTTGAAAAGTCTCTGGGAGCTGACCTATCTAAAACCTCCTTGTTAAGTCAGTCTTCTTTTGGGTCAGGTTCCGAGACTGGATCTCTGGGCAGTTGCTCAAATTCCAGTACTAGCTCAGGAGAGATGATGGCAACATCTTAACAGGGGCAGCGAAGAAGACAGAAGAGTCCCTTTTGGTGGAAGACAGTCTTAAGGCAGATTAAAAAGTTGGTAAACCTTTGATTTACGTAATTTCACAAAGAAATTTTTCTGATACAGCAAGTGAAGTGAGATGCCACAAAATGAATTTCCTAAAAGGATTACACCCTGCTTTAGAGGATTGTATGCATCTTTAACTCTGGTCTCTGAAGATTGTAGGTTGAATAGAGGAGTCTTTACTGTGGCAGCCTCCTGTTCTCATTATCTAGTCATTTCTGTTTCCAGTGTAAGACATGGGTCTCACCAGAAAATGGGCACCCTTGTGTGTGTGACTGTTCTATATTTCTAAGCCCAGCTGCAAATTGTCAGAAGATGTCTGGCTTTTTTTTTTTCCTTATGTTCACAACATTTTCAACCTGAACTGTGAGCCTACTGCGTTTTGGGATTATCATTCAAAGCAACTCTGAATGAATTCTGGGAAGTATAGAAGTAATGATTGACTGGGTTTTCTTTTTTCTGTGGTCTTTAATGTTGTTAAAGTACTCCAGTTAGCTCTGAAAGAATATCCTTCTCTAAATCAAATTCATATGTAAAGTTGCAAACCGAACTTCATTTAGTTTGAGTCTGGTGAACTTTTAAGGAAAGACCTCAGGCGAAAAATCAAAAAGACGCTGAAGATTGCATATTTATTTTGAGAGTGTCTTAGAAGCTCACTCGCACTGTGTATGTGCAGGGGGTTGAGAGTCTTAAAGAAAAATTGAGATGGTCAGGAGGAGAGTAAGTAAATACTTTTGAAAGCTTTATGAAACCTACCAGCTTGCAAGAAGGAACAAGCAGGAGCTCAAGCTCTAGAACAGGAGGTTAAATATCTTATTTTGAAGATAACTCTATGCTTTACAAATATTCCTTTCTGTTAAATCACAGTCTGACTTTATTAATAGTTTAGTTACTGAATGTTGCAGTAGGTGAGCTAGATGCTGAGGCACTACAGTGAAAAGCAAGCAAGACTCCGCCATCAGGAAGGAAAGGTAAAAATGCATCTAGAAAATAATACATGACAGGACCTTGCTTATGTGTTATGATGCTTCCATAGTGATAGCTCGGCTATCCCCAGTACTGAAGCTGTGCTTCTTGATAGCTTGTGAATAGCTTCGCTGTTCGGATGTTCGCTCAAGCTTGTAATCTGAGACAGTACAGTTTGGTGGGCTTGGTTTTGCTTTACATGGATTTCTGTAGGCTCTTTTCCCAGGCTCAGTTTACGTGTCGTGCAGAAAGAGCCTGCTGTTGCTTTCATTCTCTCAGTTTAAACCGCTCTGAGCTACTGCAATACCCTTGTATTTAATGTTCTACTGTTTATGTTCTCTATACAGTACTGCTGCAAAAACTCTTGTTTGGCCTGGTTCACGCCCTCTCTTCCCTTTACTTTGTCTATTCGCTGGATTAAATACTGGGTTTTACTGGATTAAAAGCTGTTTTACTTGCATTCCTATTCCCGCCTGTCCTCATATTTGCTATTAAATGTCAGCTTCTGTCACTGGCAAACAATGTCAGTTCCTGTTCCCACTTGTTGTTTTCAGGCAGTCATCTTCATGTTCTTTACTGTATTTGGTCTTATGATTTGAGGAACAGTATAGCAACATAGCTAATTCACTCAGTTTTGTTGAAATACCTTTACAAAAACTTACCATGTGCACAAGTACTGTGGTACTGGGTTTTTACATTCCATTACATTTTTGACATGCATAGATGTACCATGCCTGTCAGTCCCTTACCATGCTGTAGAATTCTGCTTTGTACTTTACAAACAGAATGAATAGAATCCATACTTGTGGTTATACTTGTAACTACTCAAGCAACATAAACATATAGACAGTGTAGTCTTTGCAGAATGGTCGTTTATAAAATAAATGACAACAAAATTGTATGCTATTTATCTTTAAAATGGAAGATCTGAAAGTATGGCTTCATACTTTTCTGTTTGTAAAATTTCTGGTTAGGATATACCAAGTGAGTAACACAGGCATCAGTAGACAATCCATAACGAACTTAGTACTGCGTTCTAATAGCTAGAGCATTAAGGTTTACTTCTTTGAATCTGTTCCCATCTTCTACTGTAGGATGACCCTCTATCAGAATTGGGTTTTGGGAAATCAGGGTGAATGCCCTAATGGAAATTTATATCAGTGTATAAAATACGGGGAGGGAGGTAGCTAGTACACGGAGATGTTGGAATCTCTAAATAGTGGGCGTTGCTACTTCATTACACCAGTTTTCCTAGCGGTAATTTGAAGCCTATGCTTTGACAAGTCTTGGCAGGTCTTTAAATAATTTTGTTGATGTGAAGAAATTCAGAAAATGTATGTACTTAAAGAAACTGTGCTGTTGTCTATACAGGATTTTTAATGGCCTTTTAATTCAGTCTGAATTAAACCAGTATAGACTGTTGGTTTATCAGATCTTTAAGTCCTTTATGAAGCTATTATTTCACTCTGTCTGAGGTCTTAAAGTAAGTTTGACTCAAACTCTCACAGACCTGACACAAGCCTGTGATTTACAAAAGTGATTGGCAACAAGCAAGCAAATTAGGAATCCCTGCTGCTTTAGTCTCTCTGTTGCCCGCCACCCTGCCATCTGCCCCTGAAAGAAACTTGCTTTTCCAGTTCTTTCGTTGACAGATACTGTTCAGATTTGTCCAGTAGTTCATAAAGGCATTCTGGGCTGTCGCAGTCTGACAGAGGATCTTGGTTCTCCCAGAACTGTAAAGTAAGTCTACTATGTTAGTAGCAATTGGGCTCCAAAACAGGTTGCTGGGAGTAGCAGAGAGCAGTAATTCTTGTGAGGGAAAGA